TATAATAATTATATACAATTATGAGAAAAATAAAGGGCTATTCAGTGCCATGAATATTGGAGGATTTATAGAAGTTGGGTTGACATTTATGCAGCTGGCTTCCTGTAGACTTTTACACTTAGGCTAATGGTTCTTGAACTTGATGCTCAGGAAAGAAAAAGAGGTAGAGTGTTTCCTTCATTTTATCCTCCTAATTCTTTTCCCCTGTATATCTCTTCACATACAGTTAAAACAACAAAAAGCAAAAACTATACCTGCAGTTAGCTGAGAGCTTTATATACATTCCTTCAGATGCTTTACAGTTTTTACATGATTGAAAAGTCGAAAGTGAGTGGTGTGACAGTTATTCTTTACTAACATTTCAATGTCTTTGGTCATTTTTTGACATTTTATCAACATTGAGATAGACAATTACAGCGTACCACCTATATGAAAATGCAGACAAAAGTCAGAATGGGTGTGGGATGGTATGTCTTTCTTGGCCAGGGTTTTCTGTTTGTTTGGCTTGGTAAGGAGCTCATTTTCTGCAGTGATGGGCTTATTTACAAATGACTGAGAGTTTGCATATAGAGACTTTTACATCCTAGAGTGTTAGGGCTACTGATGGTGGTAAATAAGTCAATAAATCAGTACTTCCATAGTTGATAAGAATGTCAAAGTACAATTACAGGTTATACATGAAACTTTTGATTATGTATCATGTTACAAGGAGTTTACAATAGATAAATACTGTAAACATTTTGCTTTTGGGCATATTTGGAGGTGAGAATACTTTTGAAGTCAATATACTTTGATGCTGTAATACTATAGTTGTCAGTTCAGCAAATTCTTTTTCTATATTGTGATTACACTGGTAGACAAGGAATCTATAACTGATGAGACGCTGGCAGAATGGAAAGCACATGTAAGAGTATGTGTGTTGTTATAATTGTTTTATTTAACATACTGAGCTAAATTACATGGAAGACATTGTGTCAAGCATAGGGATTTAATGGCGAGGGGAAGGAAGGAAACATCTGTGTAGGTCGCAGCTAAAGGAGAGGGATGTGCAGCATGAGGGCAGATAATGGGGGACTTGACCTGTTGACAGAGCTCAGAGAGCTGAAGAAGCATGGGTGTTAACTTGGGAGTGGAGGGGTATGGATGGGAGTCAGGGAATAGGATGTGCACAGGCCTCGTGGAGGAAGGGAACATGGCATCTTTAAGGAAGAGAAAGAAGACCATGTTAGCTGGAATGCACTAAGTGAGGGCAGGTGCCAACTCAGGCCGGAGAAGGTGGAGTCCTTCTTATAAGACTGTTGAGGAATCAATGAAGGTTTTAAGTTGAGGGTAGGTAAGGAAGTGACATGATCAGAGACAGCTGTTAGAAAAGATTCCTCTGGAGCCCTCCAGTCTGTCCTCCACTCTAAGGAGACCAGTTTGGAGGCAGTCCAGAAGTGTGATGGTACTAGCTTGAGAAGAAAATGCATCTTTTTGACAGTTATTTAAGAAGCATAATTCACTGGACTTAGTAGTAGATTGGATATGGTGGCAGAGCAAGACGGTGCAGAAAGCAAGTTACCAAGGGTGACTCCTGGGTTTCTGGCTGTTAGATCTGAATGTATGGTGCTATGGTTTGGCTATGGTTTCTCCCCATCAAAACTCATGTTGAAATTTGATCTGCAGTGTATTGATGTTGGGAGGTGGGGCCTAGTGGGAGGTGTTAGAATCCTGGGGCAGATCCCTCATGAGTGGCTTGGTGTTGTTCTTATGCTAGTGAGTTCTCATTCTGGCAAGAGTGGATTAGTTCCTTTGAGAGTGGGTTATTAGAAAGCCAGGACGCCACCCAGGTTTTGTCCCTTCACACATGCCTGCTTCCTCTTTGACCTTATCCGCTATATTATGACTTAGCACAAAAGTTTTGCCAGGAGCCTGGGCCATGCCCTTGAACTTCTCAACTTGCAGACTCATGAGCTAAATAAGCCTGTTTTCTTTATGCACTATGCGGTCCCAGATGGGTGTGATGGCTCACATCTGTAATCCCAGAAATTTGGGAAGCCAAGGTGGGTGGATCACTAGAGGCCAGGAGTTCAAGACCAGCCTGGCCAACATGGCAAAACCCCACCTCTACCAAAAATACAAAAAATTAGCCTGGCATGGTGGCATGCACCTGTAATTCCAGCTATGCTGGAGGCTGAGACATGAGAATCACTTGAACCCAGGTGGCGGAGGTTTCAGTGAGCCAAGATTGCACCATTGCACTCTAGCCTGGGTAACAAAGTGAGACTCTGTGTAAAAACAAACAAATAAATTATGCAATCTCAGATGTTCTGTTATAGCAACACAAAACAGACTAAGAGAGTTGGTGATAACCATTCACTGAGTTGAAGAATCTAGCTGAGGATGAGGTTTAGGGGTCAGGTTATGAGCTTGGTTTGAGATGCCTTTGAGTTACCATGTAGTAGTATCAAGTAGCAGTAGGCTGTATACATTAGCTCAGAGGAGAGATCTAGGATGAAAATTTAAACTTTAGATTTTTCTACATGTAAGTGGTAACTGAAGCCACAAATATTGTTGAAATTACATAGGAAACAAGTAGATAGAAGATGGTCTGGAGTCTTAAAGAACTCTGTTATTTAGTGGCTGGTAGAGGAAGCGTGGCGTTATGGAAGTACAGGAAGAAAGCATTTCGAGGAGAAAATGGTCAGCATCTGATGTTGCGGAGAGGTCAGGTAACATGAAAGCTGCACCTGGAAGTCATTGCTAACCTTAGCAACAGCTATTCCAGGAGAGTGATGAGGATGGGGACAAGAGTGGAGTGTGGTGAAGTGTCAGGTGATAAATGATGACAGAATACAGGCATATATTTCTAGAACTTTGTAAAGGAGTGGAGAGAGAGAGCGCAAGTGTAGAAGTTCAAGCAAGAGAGAGAAACTATGAAAAAAGAGGACTGAAAAAGAGGTGGTAAATCTGTTGATTTTTGTTTTTGCTGAGAACTTGAGCCTGTTTAAGAACCAATAGAAAGAGCCATTTGAGAGGGAGCAAGTAAAGGATAATGTGGAGCAGAAGATTCCCAAGAATGCCACAAAAGGTGGATCTAAAGTGCACAAGTTAGAGTGATTGATCTTAGATGGGAAGACAGATGGTTACAGGTGGAGGTAGTTTGTGTAGCTGGTAGTGTGGGATACTGAGTGTTTTCATATCCAACATTCTTCTCTTTGGTGAAATAGGATGGGGGTCATTTGCTGAGAATGGAGTAGAGGGATGGTGTTTTGAGAAGAATAAGGACAATTTGGGAGTTTTATTGTAAACTCTGAGAGGGTTTTTGGAGTGTCAAATGGTTGGAGTGTAGGGCGGTGTTGAGGGCTGTCTGATCCCTCTGTAATTCACACACACTGGCTTCAGTCTCTTCTGGTGTGTGACTTTCTGCAACAGAGCTCTGATTGTTCCAGACTCATTGCTGAGTAAATAGCTGGGCATATCCAGGATTAGGATTTTGCCAGCTCTTGGCAATGGAAAGGGAATTTGAGTGTTAGAGAGCTGTGGAAATGATGGGCATTGGGATGTAAGCCGATTAAAGAGGGATGTACCAAGAGAATAGGACTAATGGGTTGGGAAAAAGCTGAGAGGTCAGCAGACAGAGAATGTTGTAATACTGCACAAGCTAGAAGGAAAGAAGGCCCTGGTCAACAAAGGGGATACTTGAAATGTTATTTTGGAGGCAGAAAAATGATGTGTAGGGGACAGTAAAGGTTCGTGGCTGGGTAAGGTGGCATGGAAGACGTGCCATTTCAGGTGAAGATAATGGACTGAGCTGTTCAGGAGATGCCGAGCCATCAAATGGGCAGGAAGTTATTCAGGATTATGGCAGGGCCATCTTTGAATAAGCAGAAGTGATTGGGCAGTTAGAATATGATAACAGGAAAAGAGAAGGGTGGTGTAACTGAATGGCAGGACTGAAAAAGAATATGAGTGTTTGCAGTGGGTAGAGGAATGGAGGAATAAGGCCTGAGGTGGAAGAGGTACTAGGGCCATTTCCTGACTCTAAAGTATGAGAGGCTAGGCAGCTGCTACTTGAGAGAGTTACAGGAGAAGGAGGGGTATCTTCAGAATGCTCAGAGGAGAGGCCAAGGATATGGCAGTACTTTCTGGTTGTGGAGCAGCATTTCCAAGGGGCCTAGTGGAAGGTTGTGGGAAGTGGAGAGGGTGATGCTCTGGGAAGGAACTTCGAAGCACAAGAGGTCCTCACATGGTAGAGGATGGATTTCTGCAGTGGGCACTGCCTACATTTTAAATGTTTACTGATGAAAACAGGCATGAGTTAGGGCTCTAGGACCTGGTGGCCGTAGGATGATTTTGTTTTCCCTGACTAGAGAGACAACAGGCCCAGAGATTGTATGTCCTGTGTGCTGCTGGAGGTGGACGATGGTAGAAGCAGAGACTGGGTGCAAACCATATGCAGAGTACTAAGTGCCCAAGAAACACTATATCATTTATTTCCTATTACAACCGTGTCAGGTTAGTACTATTGTTATCTCTGCCTTACAGATGAGGAAACTGAGGTTCTGTTAAGGCGAGTTTAGTAATTCTTCCAAGGTCACACAGCTAGCAAATGGTAGAACTGAGACTCCAAATCAAGACTTCGATGGGCCTGTGTACTTTCCATCATGGTTTATCTACTTAACATTTCCTTCCCTGTAAGATTTTGATTTTTAACATAATTGATATAATGTTGAGAAGTTAATGGAATTAGATATTGTCTTTCTGAATACCAAAATTAAGTTCAATCATAGGCCCCAAATCTTGTTTCTAGAGTCCTCTGAAGGTTAGACTAGAACCCCGCCTTCTGTAGGCAACCCTCCCAGCTGTGCTTTTACCACTGCCATGATAGATGCTTGGACATTTCCAAAGGGTTAGAAGGTGGTTCTTTAAGTTAAACTGCCCACTTGTGCCAATTTGAGTGATGTGGAGTAAGTTCCTGCTCTCATTTTTCTGTACACTTTTTTTTTTTTTTGAGACAGAGTCTTGCTTCGTCGCCCAGGCTGGAGTGCAGTGGCGTGATCTCGGCTCACTGCAACCTCCATCTTTTGGGTTCAAGTGATTCTTGTGCCTCAGCGTCCCAAGTAGCTGGAACAACAGGTGGGTACCATGAAGCCCGGCTAATTTTTGTATTTTCACTAGAGACGGGATTTCACCATGTTGGCCAGGCTGGTCTTGAACTCCTGATCTCAAGTGATCCTCCGGCCTTGGCCTCCTAAAGTGCTGGAATTTCAGGTGTGAGCTACACACCCAGCCACAACACTTCTTTAAATGTTCAAGGAATGTTTGTTTTGTTTTGTTTTTGAGACAGGGTCTCACTCTGTCACCAGGCTGGAATGCAGTGGCGTGATCCTGTCTCACTGCAACCTCTGCCTCCTGGGCTCAAGTGATTCTCTCATCTCAGCCTCCAGGTAGCTGGGATTACAGGTGTGTACCACCACACTTGGTTACTTTTTGTATATTTTGTAGAGACAGGGTTTCACCATGTTGCAAGAGACTGGTCTTGAAGTCTTGAATTCTTGGGCTCAGGTGATCCACTGTCCTTGACTTCCCAAAGTGCTGAAATTATAGACGTGACCCATGGAACCTGGCCTGCTCTCAAGGTTTCTTTTTTTTTGAAGAAATCTTGTTCCCAAGCTAGCGTTACTTGGCCTCTTGGCTCTTTGTGATATGATACCATGTCTAAAGATTACTGTCTTTACCCTACTTTAAAGGTACTTTGGTATGTGATTAATTGGGAGTAAGTGGGACTGATACTTGCTCAAAGGATGTGCTTTCACACTATCTGAGTGTAAATGAGCCTGAAATTTGTTTTGTGTGTGTGTGTGTGTGTGTGTGTGTTTAGTATCTTCATTTTACTGTTGTCTTTCATTGATTCCTGTCACTTACAATGCTATGGTCTTGGGTATATGGCTGTTGTGCCAAGTCCTATACTTTAGTGTTGCCTTTTAAAAAATTATTATATTTTACTTTTATGATTGGGATTCATTATTTCAGCTAATAAAGATAATATTGAAACCTGATTTTCATTAATCTAATGTATTAGCTGTCTTTCCCAGCTCTATGTTATATGCAGCTTAAATAAACATACAAATATTTACAAAAAATATTTACTAAAACAGGACCAAAAAGAGAAAACCGTATAAAATATCAACAGATATTTTTCATTTCTACTTTGGATCACTGATTTACATGCCGCTTCTAGTTTTTCAGCTAGCTCTGGGGTTCACTAACTTTGTTAATCTAGCCACTTTTTTTTGGTATTATTCATAAGGCTTTCATAAGAAACTTTCAGAGCTTTGCTGGAATCAAGCTGTCCATCACTTGGTGTCCTTTGATCTACCAGGATTTGTTGGTCAGTTATTTGTGGAGGTGAGGTATAGGAAGGAATCAAGGATGACTGAACTGTTCCAGGTTGGAAGATGGGGCAGCGTTGTGGATGTCCATGTCATTCACTGAGGTATGGCACCACGAAGAAGCGCTGGTTGAGGTTAAGTTCAGCTTGGGCCAAGTAGAACCTGCAGAGCCTCTGGGATGCCCAAATGGAACCCATCCAGAGGGTGGCTGACCATTCAGGGCTGGTGTACAGTAGGTGGTGGAATCTAGTTGCACACAGTATAAGCACTATTGAAGGTGCAGGGCGTGTGGCAAGGCAGAACCTATAGTATGCAGAGAAGAAGTTCAGGTAGTGGGGGTCGGAGGGAGGTAGTAAACATTGCCAAGTTAAAGGTGTTTATGCCTGATAGCCTTCATTTTCTTTGTGAAATGGGATGAAACCTCATCTATTTTAAGAGGGAGAACTAGAGATTGAGAGCAGTGAATATTTGGAATCAATGTGGGGAATAGGAAAGGGAGCTTGCCAGAGATGGGAAAAGGAACGCTAAGTGTAAGTGGGGCATTCTTCCCAGCTTCCGCCTTCTTTGCTGCCCTTGAAGACAAACACACAGACCTCTTCCTCTTCTTTTTAAGGATTTTAACTGCAAAACACTACAGGAGTGGTTCTCACTGGGTGATTATATCAGAAAATGAAGGAGTGGGGTTGTGTATGTGCATGGAAGTGGCACTGGTGATTTTGAGATGCTCTCTAAGGAATTTCTGTATTTACAAAGGAATCACAAACGGGGAAAATGAGTGTTTTGATTGTGTTTTGGTGGGGAAGGGCTGGTAATCCTAACCTCACCTAGTACAACTGAGTCTTTTTTTTTAAAAAAGTCAATTTCCTTTAAAATTGACCTTTCCTCCCTTCCTTCCCTCCTCCTGTCCTTCCTTCTTTCCCTCCTCCTCTACTTTCTTCTTTCCTTCCCTCCCTTTCTTTCTGAAACAGTGTCTTGCACAATTGCTCATGCTGGAGTGCTGTGGTACACAGTCATAGCTCACTGTAGTCTCAATCTCCTGGGCTCAAATGATCCTCCCATCTCTGCTTCCTGAGTAGTTGGGACTTCAGGAATGTGCTACCACACCCAGCTAATTTTTCTATTTTTTGTAGAGACAGGGTCTCATTAATGTTGTCCAGGCTGGTCTTGAACTCCTGGCCTGAAACGAACTTCCCACCTGGGCCTCCCAAAGTGCCGGAATTACAGGCATGAGCCTGGCAGAGAACTGAGTATTTTTGGCTCCAGCCTGAAAGCATCTTTTTGGGATTTCAGTGGAAGAGAAGATGTCCTCTTGGTTCATCTCAAATACTTTTGGATACCTCCTCACTGTTATGTGTCACCTCTCCTGGGTATTTATTCTTTGGAAAGCAGAGAACATTCCCTTAGTACCCTGCACTTTCTACTTTGTATGGTGAGGATCAGTTTCTTTGTAACCCTACTGGCTGTAAGCATGTCATCCTACATTATATTCCAAGCACCAGCACAGTGCCTGGCTCATGGTGGACCAGAGACAGATGGATGGATTGTTTTTTGATGTGAAGACTGAATCAGCCCTGGCAGTGCTGTTTCCTGGGGCCCTGCCTCTGGGAGTCCTCCTGCTGGAAGAGAAGGGCTCTCATAGCTGATAGTTAAGACATGTATAGTCACGCATTGCTTAATGATGGGGATACATTCTAAGAAATGTGTCCTTAACACAATTTTATTATTGTGCGAACATCATAGACTGCACTTATCGCAAACCTCGATGGAATAGCCTACCACACACCTAGGCTATATGGCATAACCTGTTGCTCCTAGGCTACAAACCTGTACGCATTTACTGTACTGAATACTGTAGGCAGTTGCTATACAATAGCAAGTATTTGTGTATCTAAACATAGAAAAGGTACAGTTAAAAATATAGTATAAAACATTAAAAATTGGACTAGGCACAGTGGCTCAAACCTGTAATCCCAGTGGTTTGGGAGGCCGAGGTGGGAGGATCAGTCGAGGCCAGGTCTTTGAGACCATCCTGGGCAACATAGTGAGACCCAGTCTCTGCAAAAAATAAAATAAAAAAGGCCAGGCACAGTGGCTCACACCTTTAATCCCAGCACTTTCAGAGGCCGAGGTGGGCAGATCATGAGGTCAAGAGATTGAGACCATCCTGGCCAACATGGTGAAACCCTGTCTCTACCAAAAATATAAAAATTAGCTGGGCATGGTGGTACGTGCCTATAGTCCCAGCTACTCAGGAGGCTGAGGCAGGAGAATAGCTTGAACCTGGGAGGTGGAGGTTGTGGTGAGCTGAGATTGCGCCATTGCACTTCAGCCTGGGCAACAAGAGCAAAAATCCATCTCAAAAAAAAAAAAAAAGCTAGATGTGGTGGCATGTGCCTGTAGTCCTAGCTACATGGGAGGCTGAAATGGGAGGATCACTTCAGCCTAGAAATTTGAGGTTACAGTGAGGTATGATTGTGCCAGTGCACTCCAGCCTGGATGACATAGAACTTGTGTCCAAATAAAAGAAAAAAAAAGATAAAAATGGTACACCACCTGTGTGGCGCAATTATTGTGAATGGAACTTGCAGGACTAGAAGCTCCTCTGTTAATCAGTGAGTGGTGAGTGAATGTGGAGGGCTAGGACATTACTGAACACTGCTGAAGAGTTTATAAACACTTTAGACTTAGGCTACACTAAATTTATTAAAAAATTTTATTCAATAAATTAGCCTTAGTTTCTTTTTTATTTTATACACTTTTAAATTTAGACCTTTGATTTTTTTTTTTTTTTTTGAGACAGTTTTGCTCTTGTAACCTAGATTGGAGTGCAGTGGTGTGATCGTGGCTCATTCCAACCTCCGCCTCCCAGGTTCAAGCGATTCTTCTGCCTCAGCCTCTCCAGTTGTTGGGATTGTAGACACGCATCACCATGCCTGGCTAATTTTTTGTATTTTCAGTAGGGACAGGGTTTCACCACATTGACCAGTCTGGTCTCAAATCCTGACCTCAGGTGATCTGCCTGCCTTGGCCTTTCAAAGTTCTGGGATTGCAGGGGTGAGCCACCACGCCTGGCCTTTGATTCTTTTTAATAACACTTGTCTGAAAACAAACACATTGTACAGCTATAGAGAAAAGATTTTCTTTATATCTTTATTTTACAAACTTTCTGTTTTTAAAATTAAATTTTTGTTTTTTACTTTTGTTAAAAACAGACTCAACACACACATTAGCCTAGGTCCGCATAGGGTCAGAACCATCAATATCACTATGTCTTCCACTTCCACGTCTTATTTCACTGGGAGGTCTTCAGGGGCAATAACACACATGGAGCTGTCATCTCCTGTGAGAACAATCCTTCTTCTGGAATACCTCCTGAAGGACTTTCCTGAGGCTGTTTTACAGTTAATTGTGTGTGTGTATCTTTTTTTTTTAATAGATAGAAGGGATACACTGTAAAATCATGATATAAGGTATAGTATAGTAAATGCATAAGCCAGTAACATAGTCGTTTATTATCATAATCAACTATTATGTACTGCACATAATTGTATGTGCTAGACTTTTATATGGCCGTCAATGCAGTAGGTTTATTTACACCAGCATCACCACAAACACATGAGTAATGTGTTGTGCTATGGTGTTATGATGGCTACAGTGTCTCTAGGTGATAGGAATTTTCAGCTCCATTTTCATCTTATGGGACCATCATTGTGTATGTGGTCTGTCATCGACTGAAATATCATTATGCAGTGCATGACTGTACTTCAGACTTTTTCATGTTTTTCCCTGGTAAGAAATCAACATCAATTAAAGTTTATGTAAACCATTTTGATTGAAAAGTATAAACATTATTTCATTCAACAGGTCTCCAGAAAAGTTTCTTTGTTGTCCACAATTCCTGTGAATCAAGATGGACTAATTATGTTTTTGAGTTCATGTCTAGACACTCTTGAAAATTGTTGCAGCAGTATTTCCCATATCTGTTTCAACTACTCCTCTCTAGGCCAACTAGTATCCCAGCCTTCTGCCAGCTACTAGCTACATGTAGAGGTATATGAAGTAGATCTTAGGCTTTCCACTTTTTCTGTATATTCCTATACTTAATAATCACCACAGTCTCCCAGGCCCTTAATATATGTTAGTAATGAGCATCTTTTGGTTTTATCACTTTTTACCATTTTCTTTCCTGATTCATGCACTAAAGTGAATGAACAGGGCCGGTTGCTTCCTACCAGAAGCCTTGGTTTTCTGGGGAAATTTGTAAAGCTCTCTAGATTAGTTCTTGATTTGGCATGACTGATTAAGAAAGCAGCTGTTTACTAAGAGGCACAGCTGAGAGTAGAACAATTTAATTAGCTTCTCTCTGTCAAACCTTTAATGGAAGTCACAGCTTGAATATATGGAGCTCTTTATTTAGCTTTAAATGAAACATTTTTGCAAAGGGAGACCCTCAACATATATCCCAAAGTCTTACCTGAAAATAATTCTGTTGACAATAATAGTATTCATCCAGTATAACAAAGACTTAAAAACTTGATTTTGGCAGGGACGATGAAGTACATTTTTTTAATGGAGAATTGTTTGAGTGCTTTTAAATATATTAGTTAAATGAATAATTCATAAAATGGATAAGGTATGATATAAATGTTTTATGACACCTTTTAATATTCATGAAATAAATGGCTTGTGTACATTTAATTTTAACAATACTAAATGAGCAGCCCATACCCACCTACTGCTCTAGGACAGCAGAGAGCATACAAAAGTTTTCAGGGCAAACCTCCTCACATCGAAGATTAGATTCTCCATTCTCTTCTGATTATTGATTATGTATTTCCAACTTTGTGTCTATCTGGCTTCCTATTTGCTTTAATCTTAGGAAAGCATTATTTTCCTTACATCCCACTTAGCAAATTATGGTGATGCTTAATTTATATATAAAGCTTTTATGTATTATTTGGTTAATATTAAACCTAGACTAAAAGGTCACAAATTAAAATTTTAATACTCAGTAAACATATGTTATTAAAAAGAAGTAAAGGAGCAATAAAGTTAATGGAGTCTCATAGAGAAGAATTGTAATATCAATATTATTATCAAGCACAGACACACAAAAAGAATGAGGAAAGAATTCATTATAGACATATGAATTCTGTCAGAAGGGGCCCTGTGGGAGACTGATTCTTATTACCATATCCTGGTTGGAAGGGAATGAAGTGGGGTTATTGCTAGTGCAGTCAATGATTTGCCTTTTCTCTGGTGAATTGACTTCAGTAGGTGACTTTATTTCTTTGCATTAGGTGGCTGGAAATGTGTATTGATTTATTTCCTTTTCATTGGAGGCTCTATCAAAGATGGAGCCATAGAAATGTTACATTTGCTGGATATGAGCAAATGCTTTAGTGCCTGTTTTTTTTTTTTGTCTGAATGTTCCTAAGATTTTTAGGAGCCAAATAAAATTCAGCTCAATGAGATAGAAAACTCACTTTGAGTGTGCATATATGTGTAGTACTATTCTCTCTGCTAAGTCTGTTGTTAAGACCTGAAGCTCTTTTATAAAAATCTTTTCTTTTTAAAGGGATAAAAGGTCTTGCAGGCCTTTTACTCCAAGAATATGTGTGATTGAAGAACGTGTTTTTAAAGTTAAATTCTCATTTATGCAGTGACAGTGTTAGCTGTGGAGGGTATTCAGGTTCTTGGCGTTTTGAACACAGAATTGGACAAAATGCACAAATAAAGCAAGGAAAGAAGCAACAAAAGCAGAGATTCATTCAAAAATGAAAGTACACTCCACAGGGTGGGAGATGGTCTTACCATAGGGGCTCAAGAGCTTGGTTACAGAATTTTCTGGGGTTAAATACCCTCTAGAGGTTTCCCGTTGGTCACTTGGTGAACACCCAATGCAAATGAAGTAGTGCCCCACAATCAGACTGATCGGTTGAGGAAAACCAATCAGAGGCTGAAGTTACAAAGTTACACTTCTATGGGGTGTGGTGGTTCACACCTATAATTCCAGCAGTTTGGGAGGCCCAGGTGAGGCCGATTACGAGTTCAGGTGTTCCAGACCGGTCTGGCCAACATAGTGAAACCCTGTCTCTACTAAAATTACAAAAATTAGCTGTCTGGTGGCACGTGTCTGTAATCCCAGTTGCTTGGGAGGCTGAGGCAGGAGAACTGCTTGAACCTGGGATGTTGTAGTGAGTGGAGATCACACCACTGCACTCCAGCCTGGGAGACAGAGCAAGGCTCTATCTTGGAAAAAAAAAAAAGTTATACTTGTGTGCAAATGAATACTTAGCTGGCAATTGGTCAGATTGATTGGAGAAAGCAATCAATCAGAGGCTGAAATGAAGTTATAAAGTTACATTCCTATGTAAACATTTGATTGGTTGAGGAAAGCAGCCAATCATAAGTACTTTCAATTTTTCATTTGCCACTCAGAAAAGTGGGAGGGGTTTGCAAAGGGAGTAACTTCCAGTTCTGTTATTACTTAGGTTTGGAAAGTTGGGGGTTTCCCTTTGATGTAGTTTTAGGAAGTCAGGATGAATTGGCCTTAGGTTCCCTGCTTCAAGACTCCATTCTCTTGCCTCAACAGTGGTGTGACCCTTTTCTAAGACTGTTCTTAAGATTTTAATTTTGTTTTAAATGTTGTTTGTCCTGCTGCAAAATTTGTTTTGTTTTGTTTTTTAATTATGTAATTATATTTTGTTATTGCAGGCAATGTTCTATGATTTTTGGCTTGTTTCTTAGAAATTATCTAATCAAGTCTTTCATTTCATAGATGAGAAATTGAGAGATTAAAAAAGTCAGGTGTGGCTGGGTGTGGTGGCTCATGCCTGTAATCCCAGCACTTTGGGAGGCTGAGGCGGGAGTTTGAGGTTGGGAGTTTGAGACCAGCCTGACCAACATGGAGAAACCGTGTCTCTACTAAAAATACAAAATTAGCCAGGCTTGGTGGTGCATGCCTGTAATCCCAGCTAATTGGGAGGCTGAGGCAGGAGAATTGCTTGAACCCGGGAGGCGGAGGTTGCGGTGAGCTGAGATTGCGCCATTGCTCTTCAGCCTAGGCAACAATTTTGAAACTATCTCAAAAAAGAAAAAATAAATAAAAAAGAAAGCAGGTGATTTGTCCTAAATATAGTTAAAATATTATTAAAAGAATACTTTTCATTTATAGTCTTTGACATTCTCTGTTAAACTCTGAGACTTAGATAATTTTGACTATCATGATGCTAAAATTATAAGTGACATCTACAATATCTATAATATATTGTTATATCTTTAAGATAGATATTTTTCTTTTATTCTGAATACAAACATAAATATACAAAAGACCAAGAATTCTTACAGTTTCTTTGTATTCTTAACATTTGTTCTAAATTTTGAAAATTACTAAAATTACAAGACCTATTTCTTAAAAAGAATTTATTCCAGGTTTATCATGAGATGACAATTTATAGCTGTCATTTATCTTAACAGGTTGAAGAAAGATGGATGTCAACACGAAATTGTTCATCAGCATTATTTGTACCAGCTTTTTCACCTTTCAGCTTCTCTTCTACTTTGTAAGTTACTGGTTTTCAGCAAAAGTTTCTCCAGGTTTCAATAGTCTCACCTTTGAAAAGAAGATTGAATGGAACTCAAGGTAAAGCATATGAAAATGTAATTGATGAAAAGAAACTAGTTTATTAGATAAAATTATTTAAAATATTTCAAAAAGTCTTTCATTTAGGATCTAATAAAATGTAAGGCCAAATTTTTATTTGATCTTAGGAATAAAAGAAAAAACAAATAGATGATCTCATACAAACTAGTTTAAGAATTCTTATATTGAAAGATGTTAGGAGAAATGTATTTAAGTTTCTGGGGAAGTGTGTGAAGATGAAGTAGACTTCAGCTGACTGTGGATGAGTACTAGCACTTTTGTGTTCTTGGGAATATTCATAACAAACATCTTCTTTGAAAATGATGATGGAAGAAAAAGTTAGTTGTACTTTTGAGTAGCTTATACCATATAGCATTGGCCAACTTAGCCAGGCCTGGGGCAGTTAAACTCTACACACCAGAGACCAAAGTGTGCAGTCAGTACATATGAATCTTTTCATGAACTTTGCATTATAATTTAGAGCCAGTATTTATTTTCTTACAAAATTTTAAAGTAAAAATTGCTTTTTAGATTTCTTTTAAAACAAAAAATTAAATGGAGAAAGAATTAGACATCTATTCATACAGAAATCTGCTGGGGTTTTATTTTTTATTTTTATTTTATGTTTTTTTGAGACAGCATCTTGCTCTGTCACTCAGGCTGGAGGGCAGTGGCGCAATCTTGGCTCACTGCAGCCTCCACATCCCCGGTTCAAGTGATTCTCCTGCCTCAAACTTCTGAGTTGCAAGGAAAACAGGCATGCACCATCATGCCCAGCTAATTTTTGTATTTTTAATAGAGACAGAGTTTCACTATGTTGGCCAGGCTGCTCTCAAACTCCTGACCTCTGGTGATCCATTCACCTTGCCCTCCCAAAGTGCTGGGATTACAGGCATGAGTCACCACTCTCTGCCAGAGTTTTAAAAAGTTGGTTGCAATATTTTTGTGTGTGTACGACTCATTCATCTCACAAGATTTCCAACACAAAATGGCTCAGATGACTGCTTCACTTGCTTTAGAGCATTTTAAGTGCCCAAACATTGCTGCGTATTTGTAAACTTTGGTGAGTTGGAGGAGCTCTGACCATATTTTTTGTTGTTGCTATTTAGTTGAAGTTAATGCTAACCATAAAATGCAAGTCTCTAAAGTTTGCTATAATTATTTTTCATTGAAATTTCCTTTTAAAATTTAAGAAATTGTTAGTGTCTGAATATTTATTTGAGAATGGTTATGTTTGACTTGAAATTCCCCTTTTTTGAACCAAATTGGTTTGCAGGCATCTACTTTTATAACTCAGACTGTGATTTTAAGAAGACTTTAGTTGTTTTCTTTTGCACTTTACAATGATATATCAGGTTCATACATGCCAAAGTTCTTTTCAGCCAGAAAGCAAAAATTATTTCTTCACATATTTTCAAAAAAAAAAAGCAATATGATTTTGTCTGAAGACTAGCACAAAAATATTGTTCAAATGTGTTATACTAGAGATACCATTACTTTAAAAAATCTTTTCTAACACATGAAGATAGATGGAACGGTAGCAAGGAGAAGGGGGTACATAAATTCTCTGATTAAATTTTGAACTATTTTCACTTCCTTTTTACTGTGGTTAGGATAGGGATAGGTATTTGAATGTTAGGTAGCTGCAAGTCAAAGAAATAGGGAGGATACAGAGAGATAGAAGCCAAGATGAAAATGAAATGAAATTGAAAAAATATTTTGTGTTATCTAGTCTTACCACTGCCATTCTACGATACGGGAAATACCACTTGGGAAACTGAGTTTCTATTTGAAAAAGGAGTCTGGGATTATATAAAATTCATTTAGGTATTCAATGGTGTTTTCTCTTTCTCTGAAGGTCGCTCCTACTTCTCACTCCAGCTTTGTTTACATAGGACTTAAGCTGTGAGGTGGAATCCAAAGTAGGAAGAGGAGGCTATAGTTTGTGTGAAGTATGTATAATGTCTTAAAAATCAGCCTCCAGTTTGAAAAGTACAGATAAACACACATAATTCTTTCTAGTAATCAGGAGAGAGTCTCTGAACAATGAGTAGTCTGAGCCATCTAGTATACAAAGAACTGGAGGAAAATCAACTACTGGAAGTGCTCACTTGAGACACAGCACTGTGATTAAAAGTGAGAAATTTCTGTACTTGCAACTTTTTCTGGAAACATATATATTACAGGTGTTAGATCTTATAAAATAAAAAAATTTTCTTAATTATTTATATCCAGTTTCTTACCTGTTACATCAAAAGTCTTATTGTGTTGAAATACTACTTTTTTTTTAATCTTTCTCTATAAGTGAAGTCTTTTTGACTGAGCGATCTAATTTCTGTTGGCATTATTTACACTACTCATGATTAAATCAGTAACTTAAAATTACTCTTCTAAAATGGTCATTAATCATTTCTTTAGTGTGTTGTCTCTTTATGTGTACAAACATTTCTAACCTCTTTGAAAAAAATTGAAATATTTTACCTTGGGTAGCATCTTGGAATTTCTTTTTAGATACTAAGGAATCTAATTTTTCATTTGCTAGGAATATGATCTTAATAAAATACAGAATTCTTTTTAACAGAAGTTTCTGAAAATATAGTATAGACTTCTAATACGGATAGTGTATGAGTGAGAACAGGGTATTGGTTGTTCCTTTTCATTGTAGAGGGAGGTATTTGACTGGACCAAGTAACATTTAACTTTTCTGTCCTGAATTATATAACATTTCCATCAGCCAAGGGCTGAGAATGCTTTTCATTTACCATATAACTTCTCAAAAGAGAAGTAAATCTGAGGCCTGAGTGTCAGAAATTAAAAGTTAGGTTTTTTTCAAAAGGGAGCTTTCTAACTATGGTTACGAAACAGTAAAACAAGTTAGTGAGAGAGGTTATATGTTTTTTCTTTTATAGAACTTTTGAATAACAATAGAGAGCTGGATGTATGATCATTTAGATGGAGTGTTTTGTTTGATATTGAGGAACTTAACTTTTTTTTTTTTGAGACAGAGTCTCACTCTTGTTGCCCAGGCTGAAGTACAGTGGTGTGATTTTTGCTCACCGAAACCCCTCCCTCCCAGTTTCAAGCAATTCTTGTGCCTCAGCCTCTCAGACAGCTGGGAATACAGGTGTGTATCACCACACCCAGCTAATTTTTGTATTTTTGGTAGAGACAGAATTTCACCTTGTTGGCTAGACTGGTCTCAAACTCCTGACCTCAGATGACCTGCCTGCCTTGGCTTCCCAAAGTGCTGGGATTATACATGTTGAGCCACCATGTTTGGCCAAGGAATTTACATTATTATCCTGTGCTCAAACGGAATACTGCAGTGCTTGGCATGAAAATTATAGACTTGTAAATCAGATAAATTGGATTAATTATTCACATTTCAAAATGATTCTTAGGTATTATAAATGATACTTGGTCAATGCCTTTAAATTAGAATCTTTCCATATTTAAAATATGGCTTGATTTAGCATGATAGATCTATTTTGTAACACATCATCTATTAGGTCAAGTATATTGGTTTTTCAAGTTACAATGAAATTTTCTGATACCAAGCCTAATATTAGTTGATATATTTTACTTACTTTTAAAGATTTGGGATCATATTGTAGAGAAAAATTTATTGCACACCAGTAATTTTTAGAGAGAAAACTTTGCTGTTCCTCTCATCTTTTATTCTAATGAAGAGAAAAGAAGCTTCGTTACTTGTGAACTACTTTGTAAAGATGTGGGAAATCTGAAATTGTTGGGTAAAAAAACTTCATTGTATGGATAAATACAGTTTCCTGAATATAGTTCTTTAAGTAACATAATATAGAGCTTGAGAAGTGGTCATGTCATTAAATTTATTAACAAGATATATTCATAGAAACTGATGGTTTTTAGGTTAAAGTTATTCCTTCTGTAAAAGACAACTTGACCTGGATCTTGAGAACGCTGTGCTTTTACTTGGGTGTTTCTTTTAAAAACAAATTTTCTGTATAAATTCATGGTCCTCAATTTCTCTATTTAGAAGTGCTTTCATAATAATGATAAAGAGGCATTAATAATAGCTACACTCGATTTCTTACAAATTTGTTACAAGAATCTGGTGTAATAGTGCATGTCAATGTACTTTAAAAACTGAAGTCTCCCACGAAATAAATCTTCATATTATGATCCATTTGAATTGTTTTAAGGATATGGAGTTTGTTAAGGTCAGTAGATTGGAAGCTGAATGGAGCAGGAAACTTATCCTGCATTGATGCTGTTGGGGCTGGAGCTTGGAGCAGGGTACAGGGTACTGGCCTTGCCAGTTGCCATCTGTCCACACAGAAGTCTGTCAGCTGCATCATCATGTATGCATCTGTCTTAGAACTTTTAACCAAGAAGTGATTCACCTGTTCTCCAGCAGGAAATTGTAGGCCTCGGTATCTTCCTCCTCCTTTATTCCAAAGTAAAGCTGTGGCCCTTGGCTTTCCAAATGGCAATTTTGCATTATACTCCACTCCGGTATATAAATGTTTCAAGGTGTAACTTGTTGAGAATGTTCTATGTCTTGTCAGAATTAGTTAAATTTTATTGCAAAGAAGGTAAAATCCTTGTGTTTCATCTCAGGGTAGTATCCACATGCCATTCCTTGGTGGTTGGTATTTTTGGCCTGTACATTTTCTTATTCGATGAGGCTACTAAAGCTGATCCACTTTGGTAAGCTGTTTCTTTTTCTAAGATTGCCAATTTGATTTATGTTTTGATATTAATTATTTATAAGAACATCACTTACTTTAAAACAGAAAACATATCGATGGCGTATGAGTTATTAAAATGCTTGTGTTCAGACATTTCAGCAAAGTGCATTTAAATGATTTATTTTAGATTTGAATACAAATGAAGGCCATTTTGCCTCAGTATAGCAATTGTTATCCCAAACAAGGAGAATATGATGATAATTTAAATATTTTTACTGTGTTAATGAGTAAAGCAAAGTTATTGTAATCACGGTTCTGAAGAAAAATTATTGAGATAGGATAGTCAACTTGGATAATGTCTACTGAAGACCTTTTTGCCTCCAATTTATGTTTGACTCCTTGTTTGATATCAAAGAAATGAGAGTTACAGATGGCCATGTGAGAGGAATTTAGTACCGCAAGATTTGAAGCACATGTACTAATAATAACTATTTTCAGCAGTAATAGGATAATATGTAAGATGGTTCTTTTAGAAAAACTTAAAAGTCATTCCAATGGCAGACATTTTGCAGACTGCTTCCTGGTGTTATATGAGAAGACTTAGTTCAGCTTCATTTGAGAGAGGAGGCATGTTTGAAGAAGCACTGCCTTGAGATGTGGTTGTTGTCGGCTCGGGGATGTAGGGTGATTTAGCCTGGTCTTTTACCACCACCATTTGACTGCAAGGACTTTTTACATTAAAAAATATAAAATCATTCCCATAACAATTACATCAGTATTGATACATTTTCATTGGGATGCTGTTTTTCTGTTTTTTCTTTTTATTTATTTATTTTTGAGACAGAGTCTTGCTCTGTTGCCAGGCGCCAGGCTGGAATGCAGTGGTGCGATCTCGGCTCACTGCAAACTTCACCTCCCAGATTCAAGCAATTCTCCTGCCACAGCCTTCTGAGTAGTTGGGACTACAGGCATGCGCCACCACGCCCAGCTAATTTTTGTATTTTTTAGTAGAGACAGGGTTTCACCATGTTGGCCAGGATGGTCTCGATCACTTGACCTCGTGATCCACCCGCCTCGACCTCCCAAAGTGCTGGGATTACAGTTGTGAGCCACTGTGCCCAGCCTGGTAAAATTATTGTAGTAAAACTTTTAGCTAATATATGTAAGAAATTATGGTAACCATGTGGTTAGAAGCATTATCATAGTTAAAACAGTACTTTGCACATTGATAGGTTTAGAATAGAATCCAGAATTAACAGGAGACACTTCTTAGGTAAATTAATACATTGGAGTGTCCACTGTAGTTGGCCCTTAGGTATACTCTAAATCCATTATAAATGCCACTGGAGGTATGAAGGATGACCTCCCAATTTAAAACAAAACAGATGCTATGCTGTGCCCTGGATTTAGGGATTCTGGGAATAGTTCTAAAAACTTAAGTTTGGAAAATGCACTGGGTGCTATTAGTCATCCCTAAGAGGTCTGTTCCTAATATTGGGGACCTCAATATGGATTGACTTCAGATACTTAAAAAGATTTCAACCTAGTTTGAATTCTGAGTTGAAGATTTATCCTCAAGGAAAATTTGGAGACTAGCTTAGTGCCAGAGTAAAATTCATGGAAGGCATGGGCTCTAGAAGATCTCTTGATTAAAACAGTTCATCTTGGACAAAAAGGCTACTAGATTTCCTGGGAACAGCATCTTTCTCCTAACACTGGTGGCACAGGATGCGTCACGGTTCGGTTAAACTGTCATTGTGTGTTTTCCAATGTTATTTGAAAACGACAGCTTACCATTCGAGAATCTCTAGAAAGCATTTCATTGTATTTAAATCTCTATAGAAAAAAGAAGTAGCAGTTATCTACAACCTATATACTTAATAAAGGAACCCTTTTATTTTTCAGGGGTGATCCATCACTTGCAAACGTGAATATTGCTATTGCTTCAGGCTACCTCATTTCTGGTATGTGAGATGTTGTTTTATTGCCTAATTCTTTTTAAACTACTCACAGAATTATACAAAGAATACACAGTCTGTGCTTTTGGTTTATTTGAGACATAACTTTTAGGACACATGCAGAGGAAAAAGTACCTGCCATGATGATAGAACATGAGATGTCTTTTCATGAAATGGCTTTCTGGTTCTCACTTAACATCAGAGTTACAGAGTGAGGCCTCAAACAACTGAGGCCTGGACATTTTTTATCAGCAAGGACATGGTCCCCTTTTGTCCTAACAAGGCTTTCAAGTGTAGTGACTGTGAGGCTAACAAAGTTTAACTTTTAGGGTTTCTCACTTGCAAGAGTTCTTGAAATGTGTTCCAGTAGTCATGATTTTGTGTTTTGGTAAAATTTGCAAAAGTAAGCTGTTTCAGCTGTAGTGAGTTAAGGGGATGGACTTTTTCTACTCCACATTCCCCTCTTATTTTACCTCATGTTGGATGGGGTTGGAGTTGCCTTTTTTTTTTTTTTTTTTTTTTTTTACGACGAGGTAAAGGAGAAGTTAAGAATATGTTATTTTAAGTCGAATTTGAAAAGACATTTTGGATTGTCTCAGTAAAACATGAGAAATAGCAGATCCCTGATTTGGACGTTTTTATAGGAAACCCTATTTTATAATTTTTAAACATGTTAAATAACTGAAAGAAAATACAAATAAAAATGGAATATGAAATAAAAGTGATAAGTAATGAACTTAATAGAAAATTGCCTGCCATCAAGCAGTGAATTATAACAAAAAATTAAATTATACCAAAACACAATAATTGCTTAAAAAATTAGCCAAGAGTAGTGGTGTATGCCTGTAGCCTCAGCTACTCATGAGGCTGAGGTGGGAGGATTGCTTGAGCTCAGGATGTAGAGGCTGCAGTGAGCTGAGATTGTGCCACTGCATTCCAGCCTAGGCAACAGAATGAGAGCTGTCTCTAAATAAATATGTAAGTGAGTAAGTGAATAAATCAAATAAAGAAAAGGCTGTTGGGTTATTTGTTAGACCAAATAAAAGAAGAGTTAATCATGTAAACACATTGGGGAAAGGTTTGCTCATTTGATACAAAATGCTGTCATTGCCAAGGACAACAGAATACTCATAATATGCCACACACACTGGTTAATAAGTATTATCAATTCACAGAATTGATAGTCCCCAGTTAGTCCCCAGAAAATCTTGTATGAAAGAAACTTAAGGTTTTCTCAGATAAGATAATAATCCCCAAAAATTTAGAAACAAGAGTTATGAACTGAAACAAACTTTTCTAAATGAAGCTGAATGAAAAATTTTAAAATTCTCTCTGTAGAACATATTACAAAATCATTATCTTATAAATTGGTGACCAAAAGATATACAGCCAAATATGTACATAAATATATTTAGAGAGGATGTATCAGGCAGTTAATTACTAATAATGTTATATTACTTTTCTTGATTTTTCACATTTGCAGGTTTTCTTCCCTCTCAAATCACATTTGCAGGTTTTCTTTTTTCTTTCCAAAAGAAAATCTCGATGATTTCTCTTTCTAAATTCATGTCTTAAGTTTGTATTAGTAATGAGAAGGTCCTCATATAAGTTCTGACCCTATAAAACCTGAATCCTCCCCTGATATCTATTCATGATTGCTATTTCTTTCCATGTCTACATTTTATGTTTATTTGGTTAAAAAAAAAAATAGTTATGTTAACACTGAGGAATTTCCTTTTTTTTTTTTTTTTTTGAGTTGGAGTCTAGCTCTGTTGTGCAGGCTGCAGTGCAGTGGTGCAATCTCAGCTCACTGCAATCTTTGTCTCTCAGGTTCAAGCAATTTTCTTGCCTCAGCCTCCAGAGTACTGGGATTACAGGCACGTGCCACCACACCCACCTAATTTTTGTACTTTTTTTTAAAGTAGGGACAGGGTTTTACCCTGTTGGCCAGGCTGGTCTTGAATTCCTGACCTCGAGTGATCCACCCACCTCATCTTCCCAAAGCGCTGGGGTTACAGGTGTGAGCCACCATGTTCTGCCTCATAGAGCAATTCTATTTTATTAACATAAACTAATTACTTTCTGAGTAATAGTGTTTAACTTCAGAACCTTTTTCTTTGTTTTTCTTTTTAGTAGTTATAGTTCTTGGTGGCATCACTATTTTGAATTAATATTTAGTTGCATTCTTTTTTATTTTTAAAATATTTTTGTAGACTTCGTTTTATAAATGAGTTGATCATTTTGTACCTTCCCTATGACCATCTTATCTCTGTTTGAACAAAAATCAGTCATTTAAGCTTATTTAAAATTTATTCAATACTATTTTTTGTTTATTTTTACTCTGGATGCAAGTTATTCATTTATGTTTTCAACAAATCTTATATTACATATAATTAAGTTGTTACAAGGTAATTGCAGTTTTTGTCATTAAAAATAATGGCAAAAATCCCAAGTACTTTTGCACCAACCTATATGCCGGGCCTTGTGCTAGATTCTGAGAGTATAAAGATGCCCATAACCTAGTCCTTGTTCTGGAGGAGCCACAAGAGAGTGGGTGAGACAGGCATATAGGAGCTGAAGTTTTATGGCAAAGTAGATAATCAGACTGACTGAGGCATGAACAAAGTGCTCTGGGCTCAGAGTGGACAGTGATAAGTTGGCAGGAGAAAGAGTTCAATATACTTGAAAAACAGTGCAACTTTCTTCTTATGTGATACCTTACTCACTTTTCTTTTCTTACAGATTTGTTCATTATAATTTTGTATTGGAAAGTGATTGGTGACAAATTTTTTGTAATACATCATTGTGCAGCCCTGTATGGATACTACTTTATACTGGTGAGTTTCAGGATTTTCCGTAGCCTAACTAGCAGACAAGATTGGGAATTGTGATGTAAGGGTGAACATCAATCTAAACATACAATTCTTAGTTTTTAATGACCCTCTCCAGATGCATTCAGGGATTGCTTTTGTGATATGCTATCTTGTTTATTAACTAAAATAATAATTTTATGTGTGTCTGTGTTGGTGTGTCTGTTTGTATTCATAGATTTTTTAGACAGGCAGATGACCCTAATTCCTCGAATTTTAATTTAAAACCTTAAATTAAAGGGTTGTGTAGTCATAGGTATTTGTCTGTCTTTCTAGATGCATTTATGATTTAATAGCCAGGGAGATGAGCCAGTAAAAATATTTCTTTTCTGTTTAATTCCATGTGCAATTACATGTGTATCCATAATTACATTTAAGTAGGTTGGAGCAGTGGGGACTTTATCAGAATTCCAACACCAAGGTTATTAGAGGATTCCTCTAACAGATCTCAGGCAGTAAAGCATATTAAATTATATATCTAAAAAATTTTCTACATATACATTTATAAACTAGTAACTTTATATTCCTTACATGTTTGTTAGGTTTCTCTAGAATCAGTTATTTTTCAACATAGATAAAAAAACAAGCTCACATAGATATTGCAACTGCAATTTTCTTCCTAAAGATGGTTGCATTTTTGATATGTCATTCTATGTTCCATTGCTATAATATAAAATTTATCTTTTAAGGTGAATCTATTCATAGGGAAACCAAACAGGAAGAATTAGGTGAAATGATGAATGTTAATAGATGCTCTAAAGATCCCATGTTATTTACCAATCTTAACAGTAATTACTCATTGACTATAAGAAGGTTTTTTTTTTCCATGTAGTGAATTCCCGGGTCACTTTGTGCATTTTGTTATTCTAAGTAAGGCTAACAAAAATAATAATAATTATAATTTTTAGGGGCAAATGGTCATGACATTCTTATCACTTATGTAATAATGAGAACTTGTATTTGAAAAGCGCTTTGACTTAATACTTATGTAACCGTTTAAGCTATTTGCAGGAAGCTCTTTTTTTCTTAAATGATTTTGTTATTAGAACAAAGTAAAACTTAAAGTGACAAATAGGAGCAAGTTCCCTGTAGGTTTAAAATGTATCCCTACTGAAGAAATACTTGCAAAGTAAGATTCTTTGGAATTTAAGGTATTATAGGTTATATAATGTCTTGATCACTATTTTTGTATCTCTATATTTATTGAAGTTTAAAAATTCTCTGGCAGAGTAATTTAGAGCTTAAGGAATTTTCTTCTGTCTATAGAGATAGGTACAAATCCTATAGCGTTTTTTCCCTGATATTCACCTTTCACTCCTGGAGCAGGATACTAATTATCAAGGAAAGCATGACAAGCTGATCTCTTATTCTAGGAGAAATGAACACATTTATGCTTTAATCTCTAAGTTTTAAGGACAAACTACCATCCTTTGTACATCCTTTCTGACTGCTTTGGTAGCTTTCATTTTTTTTGTGTGTATTCCTTGTGAATCACCTTCTATCTCCAATTGAACATGCCTTTAGATAATGAGTTAGAATATATTTGGAAAATATTTAAACTTGAAAGTCACTCAATATGCTTCCATTTCCAAGTCCACTGTATTATTACACCACCCTAGAATCTGAGCATAAATCATTCTGCTGCAAGTTAGGAAGAAAACTTGGTTCAAATGGTTCTTAGCGCATTTGTTTAGGGTTATTAGGTGCACAGTGATGCTTGAAAGGTGAAATTTCTGTTTCTTGTTTAATGCTTTAGCCCAATATCTATATTTTAAAAACATTTTGCATACAGACATGTAGGAAGCAGTATTAAAAATGAAAGATTTGTCATTTTAGATTCAGCAAAGTTGTAATTAACAGGAGACAAGAATTAGAAAAATATTGGCCTTATGTTTAGTTTAAAGGAAACTCTCCATAGAAATGCCATAAAACAAATGCCATGACTTGCTGAGATTTTTATCATTAACTGTGTTAAAAAAAAACTCTTGTTTTAAAAAGATTTTAATAGCATTGACTATTCGCAGTTACACGCACCTACTGTATTTCCTCCTTTTCTTCCATTCAGATAGCCTTAAAAATAAATTTTAGGTAACTGTATTAAGTGTTATAGCAATATCTCAAAAGATAACAAAATTTCAGAAATTAGATAGATTTAAAAATAGCCACCTAATATAGCTTACTAAAGCAAGATTTGATCCTCAGGTCTGTGTGATTTCTACTTACCACTAATTTTACATTTAGTAAAACATGTTAAATATTAATTACTGAAAAATATTTTAAAAACTAAAATAACAAGTAATCCTTTTCCTCCTGAAACAAAAGATTTTCAACGTTGTTATACAGTAATGAGCAATACACTGGCAGAATTAAGTCTTGAGAATTATTTTGTTACTATTTCTATAACTCACTTATAGAAGACTATATAAAAGCACAAATGTACCGTTAGTTTGTAACTCTTACTACTAATGGAGGGATTAGCATGGCAAAACTGTTCAGTGGTCAGTTTCAAAAAAAAATGTTATATATTTACAACAAAATATATGTTATGTGTTTATATACACATATATACATGTATGTGTGTTTTTTTGTAATTAAATTTTAAATTTTTAAAAATTTACTTTTTAATATAAAATATCTGATGTGATCATTCCCATAATTTCTGAGTGTAACAAACTCCTGTAAGGCCTTCCTCATTGTTGGTGCAGGAGGAGTTCCAGTCTGGCTCTACCTACCTTCCTTGTCCTGTGGTTACTGTTTTGTGTTCCTCTATGGGCACAGGGTGTCTTCTCGGATATATGTAGTGGAATTACCTTAGCAGAGCGGTTTCCCTTTTTTTCCTCTAATCTTGTTTGCTTTTTGAATCCTATTTTCCTTTCAATGCTAGAAAAGAAAATAGGTTGTAGATTAGATTTGGTGTGCAATAAGATAGATGTCAGCCAAGAAGATCGCCATGTCCACCCAAGTCAATATTTTGTTCTTAAGTAGATTTTTAAAAACAAGCATATTATATGAATCTTTTTATATCAGGTAACTAGAATAATCAAATTCATAAAGACAGGAAATAGGATAGTTGCTGCCAGGGACAGGGCGGAAGGGATTATGGGGAATTACTATTTAATGGTACCGAGTTTCCATTTGGGAATATGGAAAGTTCTGGAGATAGATGGTGATGGTGGTTGTTTAACAAAATGAATGCACTTAATGCCACTGAATTGTACGCTTAAAAGTTGTCAAAAGGATAAATCTTATGTCATATATACTTTACCATAATAAAAAAGTTAAAGCAAGCTTATCAGATAACTAAAACAAAGGTAGGAAAACTAATAACATATTGGACAATGTGTTACATTTTTAAAAAGGCTTCATATTGGCACTGTAAACTGAAACAAATGGGTGGAACTTAATAGTGATAAATGTTAAGTTTTGCATTTAGGTTCAGCAAAGCATAAGGATAAAGAATGAGCTGGAGGTGGTAGATGACTGCATCTCAGTTATGCCAATAGTATATCACATCTGCTAAAGCAGAAAGCTGTGTCAAATTTAGATTCTATCATGGGAGGCATGATATCCAATTCACACATAGTTTGCCTGGTCAGACCGCATCCAGGACCATCATCATCTGAAGTCCCTAAACTTCTGTAAGAGAGCTGCCAGTTAACTGTAGAGAGGAGATACTAGATTAAGTAGCTATTGTCTTACAACAAACAGCTAAAGGACCTAGAGATGTCAGCCTAGAAAAGCTAAGAACTAGGACATGATGGCTTTGAAATGTTCCTGGAAATGTGAGAGGACTACAAAGTAGAAGGGGAAGTAGACTTACTCTAGATTAATTAAGATGTTGGGACTAGGACCAATGTGGTGGTAAAGAGACTTCTTTTATAGAAGAAAGTCATCCTCAGTGGTTGGAAGATTATAACAATAGAAAGGCCTTTTAGAGTGGTAATTCTACCATAAGATTGCTTTAATTGGATAGATATAAAAGTAATAACAAGCAGAAGTTTTTGGTAGGAGATTGCATTAAATAGTCTTTAAGGTTCTATTCTGATTCTGTGATGCAACTTTTGTTGAAACAATTTGATTTAGTACTAGTGCAAGAGAACTAGGCAATGGGGGAATTAACAATAAGCTAAGTTACATCACCAGGTTCTTAAGTAACCCTAGGAGGAAGGGGTGAAAGCAGCTGGCCTGGCAATCCATTCACTTCTTTGGGGTACAGAAAGGGAGAAAAAAAGGCATGTGGCCCAATCTAATCTTGTCAACAGGACTTAGGATAAATAGAGTACTGATGTGTGTTAGGAAGAAGAAACTTTAACTCTAAAATGCCCTTAGCAGGGTGTCCTTGGGTAAGGATTACCTATAGTAAAGATAACCCAGTATGTATAAGGCACAGCTCCTTGGAGAAGGTCATGTAGGCATATAGCAAGGAAAGAAACACCTGGGTTGCCAGTGGCCCTTGATGTCCCAGACCTCTCTCTGCTTCAGTTGAATTATTTGATGGTCTCTATCTTTGTAACATTTAGTAGAGCTTAATTAATGCTAGATAAGAACGTTGTTTCACATGAGTCTGATTTGACAGTCGAAGCCTGTGTGCTAGCTAAAACCTTCATCTCTATTTTATAATAATCAAAAACCTTGAATGATTAGAATTAAGCAAATAGTTATTAAATATAGTAATAGATTTTGTTTCCAAACCTCAATTCTAGGTTGATGGTACTCTGAAAGGATTTCCATTAATAGGTAATAGACTGGCCCAGAGTCTCGGCACATTTCCATTGTGAAAAATGCCCCATCATTGCCGCTATAGAACACAGTCACATTTTTACACAGGATTCTAATTTGGGAGGTCCTGAACTTATTTCCTACCAATATACAGTCATAGTGTAGTGTAGGGTAGGGGAGTGTGGTGTAGTGTAGTAGGGAAAGGGTGCCCATCTTTGTCCAGGCCTTTGGTGGTAGAACAGTATTTA